GACGCCGCTTCTGACACAAGCATTGCTCTTGGATGCGGCAAGTTCCACGTCAGCTTGCTGCAGGGGAGTTCTTGTGTATTTTCATTCTCTCATAGTTTTCTCTCGCCCCTATTCTGTAAAATTGCGATCTGCTCAATCTTGACGACCAATCAACCCGATTCCGACAGGGATAGTGTAACGCTTTCAACAGGCTGGCTGTATCATTTTTCGCGATCCTTTTACCAGGCCGCCCGTATGTTAACAGCTTGAACAGTTGCGCCTGCTCCGAACTAGCCCAAGCATTTCGATAACTAAGTAAGGTTCGCAATTATTAATTATTTAGTAACTAGTTATATTTAATTAGATAAGAATATTTTCTGCACGTGCACTCAAGTTTTCGTGCCGCTGAACTCTGCTCAATATTCTCAACGTGTTACAGCTTCGGCCAGCAAATCACCCATCCGCTCGTTCAACCTCCCACCTCAAATCCACCTCTGATATAGTTATTAATATTATATTATGTGATGACACAGAGTAAATCTAGAACAATGCCTGTCAAGTAGTTGTACCAGACTTAGTTTTGGCCTAACTTTTTTGATCTCCGACGCGAAGATGATAACACACAGGATTATAATCACGAGACGTGGGGCTCAAAGTCTCACAGCTCACCGCTACTTTGCATAAATAAATATCTTTCATAATAGAGAGAGGCGTTGGGGAAAACTAAAGTCTTTCAACACTCAAATCTATTGCTGTATTAATATAAAACTCCAAGCCCTGCATTTCCAGCCCCTTAATACAAGTACAGTAAACATTTAGCTGCTATTTCCGCACTCTCGACTATAATTACTACTACCACAAGGATGAGCTTGAAGGGCCGACCTACGTCAACATGGGAGAAGTTTCCGAATGATGCTATATTTAATCGACTTCGCCAACTTAGCACAGCGAGGCCGGGTGTATTGTTTCATGATGACTATGGAGTTAATGCCAATTATAGTTATTTGATCAGCGATGTTATACACTTACGCCAGATTCTGAGAAGACATCTCCCGAAGTCTTCATTCAACTGTGATGGTTTGTTTCACAAGGATACTACGACGGTAGCGTTCCTCGCTTTTAGCGGATACTATTTTATTGTGAGTTTTCTCGCTATTGCAGCTCTAGGTGGCATATGTGTACCGTTAGGTAAGTCAATAAGCCAATTCAATATATCCGGCGGCAACTAACCGCGCCCATTATAGCCACCGGCCTTACTCCAGAAGAGGCGCTGTACCTTTTGCAGAAGACCAAGACGACTTGCATGCTGGCAGAGAAGAGTATCTTAAGCACTGCCAGAAAAATAAGAGACTACTTTCAAAACCGCACTAACGAAAAATTAAACTTGATCACGTTAACCAGGGCAGAGACTGGGTTGGCGCCGCAATTAGAAATTGACCAAGGATTGAATTTCTCGCCAACAAGAGGATGCTTGGTTTTGTTTACTTCTGGGACAACTGGTCCACCAAAAGGGGTTGTTCTTCCCCGCCGCATGTTTCATTTCACAGCAGACATCGCATCCCAGGAAGTCGTCTACCTAGCATCGTGAGGCCAATGCCGGGCCTAGAAGCTTTTGGGAAATATTGAGGGAAGGAAAGGTCACGGAAATGAGCGTGTCCCCGACGCTAATCAGGAAATTGATGGAATACTACAATGATAACATCCGTCATCTGCCCTCTGAACAACGCAATCAATACATCAACGGAGCCCGACGCCTTGACACAGTATACAGCAGCGGGTCATCGCTTAGCTGTGCCACTTGGCAATTCTTTCCAGACGTTATCAATATCAGGGTAAGGAACGGGTACGGGATAACTGAGATGGGTGGAGGAGTGCTGGTGACGCCAACAGGTTCCGACGTTGCGGAAGTGCGTGTCTTGTCTCTTTCTAGGCTGCTGCTTGCTAATTGCTGTCTAGAGCTGTATCGGCAGACCTCTCTCGGGCGTAACGATAAAACTCTCGGATGGTGACCACGGAGAAATTCTAGTCAAAAGCCCCAACATGTTTATCGGGTACGGCTGGCTGATAGCTGTGTTGCCACGCTTGTTACTGACCTTGGTTGTAGATATGTCGATGATGAACTTGCCACGCGTGCTTCGTTCGACGAGCAAGGATTTTATAAAACAGGGGATCGTGCTCATCGCGTTGGCGATGATTATTATTTCGACGGCAGACTTTCATGCGACTGTTTGTATGCCCCTGATGCTTACTGCTCACTGCTGTCCTCGACAAAAACCAGAGCACTAACGTTTGTGTAGGGATTCGGTTTCATGAGTACACGATATCCATCCTGGAGCTGGAACACCGTCTGATGGATCTTCCATACGTTTCTGAAGCTCATGTGCTACCTGTGCGGGACCATGAAGTTGGTGGATTAGTGGCCGGCTTGATTCGACTTGGTAACGAATATACAAGGGTCAGCAGTGGTATTACTCTACGGTCTATCCGGGAGGACCTCTCTAGGGCCGGGGTGGTCCAATACAAACTACCTGCGCTGTTACGGGTCCTCAAACATGAGGAACAAGTCCCATCTACGGCCTCTGGAAAAATATTAAAGAAAGAAACGCTTGAGAAATATTTCAACGTATCCGATTATATGCCGTGTCAGTATGCTCAGGACGGCGTGGAATACTGGGGAAATAAGTTAGATGTAGAGGCTTCTACACGACCGGTTGACTGGGGAGGTCTGTAGTAAGGGTGATACGAGGGGAAAGCGTCACTTGTCACACCAAAAGTTGGGCGTGGCCCACGCCACACTTTTTGTGTGTAGTAGACCACCTTATATGCTATGCGACACACCCCCTAGCTCTAGCTGACCTAAATGCTAGAGCTATTTCTAGAGCATAGATCCTGGGCAAGGCATACTGCTGCCACTATGTGCTGCCACTATCTGCTGGATCTATCTGCTGGCTCTATCTGCTAGGCATCTTACAACTCTACTCGCTTTACCTCCTCTCTATTTTTTAGAGAGAGGCCGCCCTTATAGAGTAAATGTACTTCTAAGATATAGAAGTAGCCTTTTTAAAGAGTGCTCCTAATGGGATTCAAACGTTGTAGCAAGGTGGTTGCGCTATAGTGGGAAGTTACAGGGTGTAACCCTCCCAGGCTTATAACTGTCACACCAAAAGTTGGGCGTGGCCCACGCCACACTTTTGTGTGTGGTAGACCACCTTATATGCTATGCGACATCACTGAGGGCCGACATGTAGGGGGGGGCGGAAGCTAGTTACAGTCCGAAGTTCACCCGACGTTAGGTCTGTACAGTCTCTCGACCTCTTTTCCTTTTTTTTTTCCTTCATTTCCTTTAGCGGATCATCTAGGACTATTCTATTAGGAGTAATCTTCATGCTGTTGCACAATAGTACATAGGCGCAAGCGTCCTTAGCATCCTTCTCCCGACTCTCGTTCAATACTTCAAATGTTTGAACATCCCGTCTATTTCCACTTGGGCGACAGTAGTAGCAATTTCCGATCATTCCGCTGATTCCGACCAATGGCTAGAGACGCAGGACACCTCAATGCAGGGCATGAAGACCTTGCTATCAACAACACTCGAATGCGCCGCTTCCTCACTCTTGTTGCTCTCAAGACCACCGCCCGATTCTTTCGTCGCCAAGGCGCTTGCGTTCCTATTTCGAGACACTTAGTCGTCAAATCGGACGCCTTTGTCGACTTGACAGAAGGAGCGACAATGAGATATATCGCCAACTCTACCTGTGTCCCCATACCTAAGGTTTGGTGCTCATTTGTGCGCAATGGACGTGTATACCTTGTTATGGAGAGAATACGTGGCGAGTGTATCGCGAAAGAATGGGATGCTCGATCCAAAGAATCCAAGGACAAGCTCTTAGCGCAGTTGAAGCTTATGCTGGAAGAGATTAGGGCGCTTCAGCCTCGCCCTGGCACTGGAGTCGAGAGCTGCATTGGCGGGTCGTTATTCGATAGTCGCATGCCCCGTCCAGATCGCCGCTTTGGCCCTTTCCAAACCATACAAGAATTTCACTTGTGGCTAAGGGGCAACTTACAACCCTTAGTAGTCGAGAAGCCTGAGCAGGCGGCTGAACAAGATTGGGAGGACGTCAAGGAAATGGCCGCTCGACAGGACGGGCCTTGGCCCCGGCCAGTCTTCACGCACGGTGATTTGAACCCATGTAATATTATTCTCCGAGGGGATAAAGTTGTTGGCATTGTGGACTGGGAATTTTCGGGCTGGTACCCAAATTACTGGGAATATACATCTGCATGGTGCACCCAGATCTTGAGAACAGAGTGGCAGGGCCTACTCAGCAGCTTCCTTGAGCCATTTCCAGAGGAGTTAAAGATGGAAAGGACTAGGCAGAGGTGGTGGGGAGAGGTCTGAGCGAGCTCTCGACCGGCCAAGATATCAATACCGTTTCGAATTACAACCCTCGCCTAAGGGCAAATGTGTCACTCTAGCCTAAGCTATTCTATCGTCTAAGCGACAAGGGCTTGTCTGTGGGCTTAGAACAAGTGCAGCTTTATTTGCATACAACGCACTCTAGTATTTAGAGGTTTTTATTTTTCTAAAAGCTCCTTGCAGCTGTAAGCTTCTATCTATGCAGCAGCCTCCTACGTAATGTTTCGTGACTATAACCCTTGCTTCACGAACAATTCGTGTAACAGTGTAAGACACGACAAAACTGCACGTTACTATCTTTCCAGAATAGCCCAATGCCCTAATTTTCTTGGCTCTGCATCTCCCATTCGGCCACGGCTCAAACGGCCCCACGAAGCAGCAACGATGCCAGCCAAATTTTAATCGCTCCCGAACTTCTCAGCTGCAACAGCACTTGGTCTTTCCCTGGGATGACCTGACGCCTAATGCTCTACGTAAAGCGAAAATCTTGCTCTCTGTTCTTCATGATTCCTTTATCTGTTTACTAATCCTTTTGGAGCTAGAGAGATCGCATGACAACTACTCTCTTCTCTATTCTACTCAGTGACGTCAAGTACTAGTAGAGATGGTCTCCAACAAGAAACGTCTTTACGTCGCCCTCTATCCTAGTGGCGTCGTTAATAACGAAACGCGAAGGTGAAGAAGCCCCACCCTAGCAGCATGCCCTCCGACTTCTGGATCTAGACACTTACGCTTTAATCTGCTGAGAACAGGTACCATTGGGGCTTCCTAGTTGGGCCTAAGATCGAGGATAAAGACTCGATCAAAGGTATGCGCTACCATGTGAAGAATCCAATTTCTCAGGGTTGGGTGTACGAGGAAACAGAGCTACGCGACGTGCGGTCCACCAATAACCTACTCGTCCGCATCCTCGTCGCCAAGGTCTTGGATGAAGAGCTCCTTGCGGATATTTTTCGAGCTGTTCTTATTGTGCAGAATGATCCTAACTGGAGGTGTCGCACCTGGGTTGCAAATGCAGTGGTAGCGGCAAAGCAGAACGGCAGAGCTGTAGGTAGGGGAGTGCTAGATTGGGGAGAAATTGAGCGTGTCGCGAGATGGTTTGCTAGCGAGAAGGCAGCCGCCGGTCGCTTTAAGGATGTTGCATCGGCGCTGAAACCGAAGCCGACGTGGGACATGTTGCAAAACAAGGAGACTTTATCGTAGAAAAGACTCCATATTACACGGAACTTGCGGTCAAAGCTCGAACCACATGACTTGCTGCAATGCACAAGGCAGCAGCTATCGCGATGCCGTTGTAGGCGAGTCGCGGGCCCGGATATCAAGGCACAAAGGCACAAGGCATTAACCCTTGGTGCCTCAGTCCTCCCGGTCAGGTTACGCCCACAGGCGTCTTCTTGCATATGTAGTTATAACACAGCCCTCGTCGACTAGGTCCCTCAGATTGAGGAATTAAGGACCTTGAGACAATGTTATATTATAATTCGAGTTATTTGCTCTAAGCCCTGATCTTCGTGACCAACCCCTGTTGCACCTGACCTAACTGAAACCTGACGTCTATGCACCTCTGTACCATCTCTTATGTCCAGTGCTAACTGTCATGGTGTTCTATATTCATTGCATCCTCCGTGAACTAGAATCTCAAAAAGCCGCGCATGTCACAACAAGTCCAGCCAAGGTCTTGGTGAACGTGATCATCCCCGCTGTTGCATTCTAGGATGACACCGTCCATCTCCCTACCTGTACCTGTTCGCTGATACTTGGCGTTTTGAAACTGAGCCTATTCACCTGCATATACGTTTGAACTAGATCAACACTTAATCTGCACTGTCCAAGAGCACGCTTGACCTTTCCTTTGTACTCAATCAAAACTCCTCTGCACATCTTTGTCATAGGTATACTGAAAATCTTATTTTTATGACGTTTTCCAGAGATGCTAGAGACTAATAAACCCAATCTTCCTAAGGTGGATCAGACCTAACGGGATTTAGCATAGTCACTTCTCTTAGTTTATGTTCCCTGGAAAGAGCATTGCAGAAGTGTATGGGAGACCCGTCTATCCTCCTATATGTAAGGATTTGGGGTTGTTTTATCAACAGAAATCTCCTTAGTCTTTTGTTGCAGGGCCTAATGATCACGTCTCCGACGCCGTCAATATGCAACTTAAACTTGGTTAGTTTTGTAAACTCACAACACGCTTAATTTAATGTAGGGGTCGTTGCATAGTTCTTACCAAGATGTGCTGTGTTCTGTTATAATCCCCTTGTGTGAGCTTGACCTGATGAATGGGGACATATATCCATGTGAAGGACTTTTGCCTAAAAGGCTCAAAAATTGTAAAAATACTCTCTGCGGACGATTAAGCACGCGTGTAAGCATGTACTGCATACAATGACCTATAAGAAAGGAAATAGGTGATTCCCTTGAGGGCGTCAGTATCTGTCCATATAGCACCTAAATGACAAGTCGGTGAGGCCTTGTGGGTTGAAATACAACTGATGGGGGGTGGACAAGGAGTATCCTAGACCTAAAAACTTCCCGTCACGTCCTGCAGTGCAGCGAGTCCGAGCTAACAACTACTAAGAGCGGTCTGTTCTTGGTTGGGATGTTGTAATATACCTAAAACTTAAAGATAACATTGGACAGGCGCTCAGCTTTTTCTATAATGTAACTAGTACAGTCGGAACGTATGTTAGCTGGGAAGGGAAGTACTGCCAGGCGTTAGATGCCTTAAAGCCCTTGCCAGTCGATTAATAAGCAAATAAATGGTTTATTTGCAACCTCACGCACTTCCAGGAGCTTGCCACAGGCCCAGCTCTCGATCTAATCTAGAAATTCTTCGCGTACAACTCCTTTGGATAGGTCGAAAGCTGTCGCTAATTGGCCATAATGGTGTAGCGCGTAGTTAGGCATTGGATTTACGGAAAGCGAAAAGTCCCGAATTATAGCGTGAAGTTCTGGCGGTAAAGCTGTCATCCGCTTCGCTAGGCATAGCTCGTCTAATCTGAGATCCAAGTTAATCTGCGGGGGAACGTTCAGAGGTAATGCACCCCGCCATGGGCTCCTCTATAATAACGCAATCTACAGAGAGTGTAACTTGTCACTAAAGCCCCACACTGCATGTCCACGGCAGAAGACCTTTAGACAATCAACGTGCACAATGCTAGCCTCCCTATGATGTTGTCAACAGTCGAGATTGGCACAGAGCTGTACATCGTCGCAAGAAATACTATAAAGGTCGATGCTAAATGTTGATGGGCCATGTCCAGTTACTACAAAGCCTCGGCGAACAACTAACGTGCATCATGTTGGCGCGGTGAGTTGGACGGTTTCATCTCACAGCTGTGAATGAGGTCGCCCTCATGGAAAAGCAAACCACAAGCTCCGCATCGAGTATGGGTGCGAGCATGCAGCGTCTTGACCATTTTGGGCCTTGCCAGGTGAAATGATCTTTTTTTTGGTCTTCTCTACGAAGCAGTGCGGAGCGATTATGGGCTAAGGATTGAGGTTACGTCCAGGGCTAAGGCCGCACGTGACTATTAGCCCTGAATCCTTTGACTGCCAGCGGGGTCACGGGACCTATTTTTCTGACTTTCAGACTAAGTTAAAGACTCGCTGTAAAGAGTTATCTGCCTCGACAACTGCAACGTGAAATAGCCTCAAAGGCCGGCGCCCTACTCCTCTTCAGGGTGCGCGAGGTATAACATACCTTTTAATAGGTCTTAAAACTGCTAGTATCATTAATATTTCACTGATTCTTAGTAAAGCTATACATCTCTCAAGGCAAGATCTCACATCAAGCTTAGTCCTTTGCTCGACAGTAGTTGGAGCCTCGCTGAAAAAATACGTCTCCCTGCTGCTCACGTTAGATTTTCCGCGACAATAAGGTGAGATATAGTTGCATTGCACCCGTGAAGACTGCAGAACCACAATCGAGATTCAGTGCCGCAGAAACTCATCACCCAGAGGGAAGGGATTCTGTTTTCACGCAAGTAGCTCAGAGACTTTCTATATGCTTGGCGTTCTGCCGTTACGATATCTCCCTTCCCTGACTTGTTTTCTTTTAACCCTCTGCAGTCAACCGAAATGCAAGTACATTGCATGTTAGCACTAAGTACTTCGTACACAACGCCGATGTCGAATCGTGTCTGGTCAACGCCGAAAGCAAGAGTGGGGGGCCTGTTGTTGTTTCTGTTGAAGTGAGTGGAGCGAAGGTCATTGAGGTTCCGCCACGCAGGACACAGCAAATAGCGGTCACAACATCAGAAGCTGTAGTTACATGCACAAAGGCTGTATGCCTCGTGATGAGTCACGGTCCACAGACAGGCTCGCGGCATGAGGGCTCGTTGGAGGTCAGAGGCATCTAGTCCAACAAGAACTGGTCACAATGACCAGGGCTGGGAGCAAAAGACTTGATTCACGCAAAATATCGTGTGGTCGGTCCTATAGGCCCTTGGTTGCCCGACCTGCAGGACCCGACCAACCTTTTCCTTGGCCCGGACGACTGAGGCATAAAAAGGTCCAGAAGGTTACCACTGGCAACTGCAACAGTGCAACTACCGTAAGCATGCGATGGCACCGGCAAACCTTGCCTCAGCTTGGGACCTAATGCAACAGGAGCGAACCAACCGCATGATTAATCCGAGCTGCTTACAAATTAAGCATAAACACTACTTCCAAGTTTTTACGTACTTAAAATCTTGCCCTTAACCCACGTCAGTCTGGCCAGTCCCCAAGTTTAAACACTCACTTCGATCACTTGGACCTACCTAGCCTTTGCTCAAGTATACACCATGCCTATCAGCGAAACCAATTACGGACTGGTTCGCAAAGCGACTGGTGTAGCGGCCTTTGAGCGCATCCCAGTCCCAACGCTACCCGATGACTATCTGCTCATTCGCGTCGTTGCAGTTGCTGTAAATCCTACTGACTGGACAACCCTTGATGCACCAGGTGACAATGGGACGCTGGTGGGGTGTGATTGGGCAGGAACAGTGGAAGAGATTGGGCAAAATGTTGAGAAGGCTTTCAAAATAGGTGACAGAGTGGCTGGCTTTGCTCATGGAGGTGAGTTGAGTTTCGGCCCACGACGATCCACTTCCTTTTCGTCAATATGCCAATCGTATCTAATGATATGAGCTACTACATAACAAACACACTAATTTGTGTTCAATCCAATAGGCAACGACGCTAGGCCACAGACAGGCGCCTTCGCAAGATTCATTATAAACAAGGGCGATACAGTACTCCGGGTCCCCGATAACGTGCCATGGGAAGCAGCCGCATCTGTCCCGTGCGCCGTCGGGACGATGGGTCTTGGATTGTTCAAGTTCCTTTCGATACCATTCCCGGGACTCGAGTCCACCCAAAGCGGTCAAGACGATAACAAGACTGTTTTGATCTATGGAGGTTCAACGGCCACTGGAACTATTGCAATTCAGTTTGCGAAAATGTAAGTCGTGTAAACGATTAGCACGCATAACCTTTGAAGACTTATTCATTCATTCACATAGGGCCGGGTACACTGTTATTACGACGGCATCGCCTAAGCACTTTGAACTTGCCAAGGGTCGCGGCGCTGATTTGGTATTTGACTATGTGTGTCGACTGATCCTTTGCACAGCAGCTACCTCCCAGTCCAAGATTGCTAATCCAAGTGCAGCACTCCCCTACTGTGGGAGAAGACATCCGCAAGGCGACCGACGACAAGCTCATCAAAGTTCTGGATACAGTCAGTAAGAAGTCTTCTGCCGAAATTTGTGCTGAAGCGCTTAGTAGCAAGGGGGGAATCTACGTCAACCTACTGGGAGAGTACGACGCCCCACGTCCTGATGTTGAGTCCATCTTCTTTCTCGTCTATGGTATTACTGGCGAGAAGTATATCTTCGAGGGCAAGCATTGGGAAGCTCAACCTTCGTACTTCGAATTTGCCAAGAAGTTCTTCCCTATTGTGGAGAAGCTTTGGAGCGAGCGCAAGTGGACGGAACATCCACGTGAGGTCAGGCCTGGTGGCCTCCCTGCTGTGCTTGACGGTATGAAGGATATGAAGGAAGGTAAGATAAGTGGATATAAGCTTTTGTATCGTGTGGATGAGACCCAATGGCCACAGTAGGGTTAATGATCTGGTCTTGTCTATGGATGAGGTCCCGCAATGCTTTAATTCAGCATCAATATGACTATGGCCTCGAGCCCTCGTCGCGAAAAGGATAGCATCTAAAAGGAAAAGAACTATGCTGTGCCGCCGTGGAACGCGATGCAAGTCCACGACAAACTTCGGCTCATTGTCTAAGTGCAGTGCAAGTTGATAGAAGCTGCTGGGGAGTCTACGAGTACCTAACAAAAGGCGAAGTAGCCGTGGCCAAAGACTCTAGGAGCAATTCAAAAGCGATGCCCAGCTTCTGCTACAAAGACACAGCGGCGGTAGTTTATTGTGTGTCACTAGGTCAATTTATTTGGCAGTCTTATTTAGCCGCGCCTGGCTATACCGATAACAATCTGGCAGCTGTGTAGTTTCCCATGGTCTACCCAACAACAGGCCCACGATGCCGCTTGCGCAGGTAAATATGTTAGCCATGCCGTGACCGTTGAAGCCGGCGCAGATATATTGCCCGGGCAGCTCGGCCATGTCACCTACATAGGGTACTTTGTCCGGCGTGAAAGAGATAAGACCTGTCCAAGTCGCGTCAAGGCCCTCCCCAGAGCGTTCTGGCTCATGAGTGGTCCCAAAAAGCTTGGACAATCTCTGCATGATTTCTTCTGCGACCTCCGGTGTCTGCGACTCCTCGGCCTGAACGCCCTTGCCGACAGGTCTACCAACACTCACAACCACGGTTCCGTCCACAGGCTTCTGACAGAAGCCGTAAAACATGCGTGCGCTTTCGCGTAGCGCCATGGTGCTCCGGAAAGACTTGTGGCCGGACGCCACTGAGGGGGGAATCACGGATGCGACCTGGACCGCGAAAGGCGCGAGTCGCTCCGTAGTCAACTGGCTCAAGACACCTCCGGCATATGCGTTGGTGCAGTGAACCACCTTCTCTGCCGAGACGACGCCCCGGCTGGTTTGCACATGCAGTCCGGCACCGTCCTGTCGTATCTTCTCCACGAGACAGTGCGTCCATAGTTGAACGCCCTGTTCAATGACATGGTGGAGAATCCAGTGGACGAGCTTCATGGGATGAACAGATGCGGCCGGCCATTCATACGCAGCCGCAGCCCCCGGGCACGAGCTTCTTTCCTCTGCGGCAGCTCCGTACCAGCATTTGACGTCAAGGCTCGCCAAATTGCCGCCCGCGTCAAGATAGTCTTTGATATTCTTTTCCTCATCTTCAACAGCATCAAGCCCCAGACACACGTCAAATGTAGTGGTCAAATTGAAGTCGCATTGGATCTGGTTATCCCGAATGAATGCCGCTAGAAGCTTCAGGTTCTTCTCCTCTGTAGCCACAATGTTGAGTGCTTGCTCACTACCGTGCAAAGCCTGATAAGTCGAAAAGTTGCGAAAAGCATCTGGTCGAATGTGACCGGCATTGCGGCCTGTAGATCCAGAGACAGCCTCGCGAGCTTCGAGCATAAGAATTTCCTCGGCTTGAACCCCTCGCGCGACGAGGTTGTATGCCACCAAGGCGCCCGTCAGGCCAGATCCGATAATAACATAAGTAGCAGAGATAGGGGGAGTGTTTCTTTGATTGTGATTCAAGTACTTGAATGCTCGTGTAGTTCGTTGCCAGTACGAAAGACTGGCAGTCGGGAGTGGCATGTTAGGGCTGATGGCAGAAGACGCTGGCGCGTTATTCGCCATCTCGATGCTGAATTAGAAACAAGGTACGGAGTAGGGAGAGCTGCTCCTCTAGGCCTTGCAAGATACGATTGGGGGGGCGTCGTTGTATTGCATCGCTCTTAAATTCCCCGCCTCCTCGCCTTCCTATGCTTGTGTACACTGTAGAGATACTAGAAATCTCAAAGTAGGTTTACAAAACCGGCCACTTCCTAAAGCGGCCATGAGACAGCTCACTTACGGAGGTGTGCGGGAAGCTGACATTGATGGCCAGCATCGTCTCATTTAAACGCACATGCAAGGTACTTTTGTGGTCTGTCGCCTTTGTGAGAAGACGGAGGATGTTGGTGATCAGCACACTACACAGCTCCACTCAATTCTCCATGCTTATGATCTGGGCCTTGTCATCTCGGTCAGAAGACGGAGAAAATGCGTGGCGTGGCACGGACGCCAGCTCCGGCGGAGCCGTGTCTATCAAACCTTATTTGGCCAAGCTGCTGCATACGTACGGCCTTCCTCAGCCGTCGAGGTGATTGTAAGCGCACTACCTTGACAAACTCGCCCCAAGTCCTGGGGAGATTTTTTTTGTTTAATTTTATTTCGTTCATTTAATTTTTTTGGTGGCAAGGAGATCGAGTCCTCTCGTTCTCTCCTCATTCTTTTTTCCCATCATTTTCCACCAAATACCACCAAGCATCTGGTCACGTCCGTGGCGCTCCTGCGAAGTATCATACTGATAGACTCTCATTTACTAGCCAAACGACTAGTCTCGCAAACCGTCATGGCCATGGCCGCAGACTCGGCGAAAACATCCGACATTTCAGCCCATGATGAGGACAAGACGCTCCCAGCTTCGGCGCTGATGCCCCCTGCTGCTGCTGTGGCCGACGACGTTCCCAATGGAGGTGCCCAGGCTTGGCTACACGTTCTTGGGGCTTTCATGCTCTACTTCAACACCTGGGGTATTCTCAACACGTTTGGGGCCTTTCAAACCTTCTACAGCTCTGGCACCCTGTTTGTCCAGACTTCATCCAACATCTCGTGGATTGGCTCTATCCAAGCTTTTCTGGTCCTCTTCACGGGCTTTCTGTCGGGACCAATTTATGACCAAGGCTACCTGCGTGCCCTGCTGCTGGTCGGCTCATTTCTCATCGTCTTTGGGAATATGATGCTGAGTCTAGCCACTGATTATCCGCAGGTGCTCTTGGCCCAAGGCGTTTGTGTTGGGCTCGGTTCGGGTCTTATTTATGTGCCTGCTGTTGCAGTTTTGCCCACCTATTTCAACACGCGACTGGGTCTCGCCATCGGTCTTGCAGCCTCTGGATCAAGTATTGGCGGCATCATCTATCCTGTCGTTTTCTACAAGCTCATTAATCAGATCGGCTTCAGCTGGAGCGTACGCGTCGTCGGCTTCATAGCCTTGGCCACCCTCATCATCCCAAACCTAGTCATGAAGATGCGTGTCAAGCCGCCCAAGGCGCGTGCGCTGCTCGACACTTCTGCTCTATCCGACTGGCCGTTCCTCATTTTCACCTCGGCCACGCTGATTGGTTTCATGGGTCTCTATACTATGTTCTTCTATCTGTCCTACTACACCAAGGCCAGGCACATCACATCGACAGCTTTGTCGTTTTACCTCGTGCCGATCCTCAACGCAGCCTCGATCCTCGGGCGCGTCCTTCCCAATGCCGTCTCCGACAAAATCGGCGCTTTCAATCTCATCGGTCCTGGTGCTGTCATTGTTAGTGTCATTATTTTCGGCATGCTTGGCGCAAAGTCCGTTGCAAGTGTTGTCATCCTTGCTATTCTCTTTGGATTCTTTTCCGGTATATTCATCGCCCTGCCTCCAGTCTGCATTGTCCGACTCACGAAAGACCGCGCCAATATCGGCACGCGAATGGGCATGGCGTTTGGCATCATCGGTCTGGGCGTCTTTGTTGGTGGACCTGGCGGTGGTGCGATACTTGCTAGTGGCGGCGGCGACAATTTCAACGGCCTCTGGGTCTTCGGTGGCGCCGCGTCGCTGGTTTCTAGCGTCCTGTTTATGGTGGTCAGAGCTTGGAAAGCTGGCTGCAAAATGATCAAAGTATAGAGGACAGATAGACATCTGAGCGAGAATTCATAGAAAAGTCTTTTAAGTCACATCGAGTGGCGTCAGTCCATGATGCAGAATTTCTGCATGCGGAGCAATTATTTATAAATTCGAAAAATTCTCCAATAACAGATGTGTTTTGTAATGCGCTAAAGAGACTTCAATAAGGTGTAAAATCAAAGACAGATAATCTGACCCTTGTCAAACGGCAGAATGAGACTCCTCAAGTATAGGGAGGAACTCAGATAGCAAGTAATTGGTACTGCCGTCTTAGCATGGAAAACGCTTTGTAAACGAATTCTTACCATTCTAATTATCTTAGGGTAGCAGTTGGAAGCCTGGTATGCAGGTAAGTTTTAGTTGATTACCTGAAGAGAGGAATTCGTACGGATTACAACACGTAGCCCACACCAGTGTAATATTGATACTAAGAGAAGAAAAGAAGCTACAATGTCTAACCCAAATAGATTCAATAATGCATGTTTTGACTAGGTTGTCTAGTCTACAATCTTTCACCCTGTACATAATCATGCCCTCGCTGCTCTACTTGCGAATACGCGAATGTGAGCATAACTCTGCTACATCCCCTTGCATCATTCGATTTTAGCGTCGTACGAATATGCCGGGACGGCAGATGACGGAAATAATACAACCTCTAACGGATGAGATGAAGGTTCCGAATCCACAGTCGCAATTTCGACGTCAGTGACAGTGACGGGATGCTTTTTGGCCATCAACATCTCTTGCTTGTCGAAAACGGTCTCAGCATCTGAATTTTGAGTAGCGGCAGAATCCTCGGAATTCTTAGCAACCGCCGCAAGATTTGACATTTCGGGCGCCGTTGCAGTATCTGGCTCGTCCGCCTGGACAGCATCCTTGGCAATGTAAAAGTATGGACGATTGTTCTTGTACATGAGCTCATGCGTCTCCCGGACCTCACTGGAATGGACACAGTGGTGCCCGCCGTCTCGATCAATAGCAACACAACTATGCCAGGGTGACTTTTGGAAAAAGCCCTCTGGTGAGGGAACAAGAGCCACTGACAGCTTGGCCACCCCGGACGAAGGATGCATTGACAGGCGAACGTCCAAGGGCCGATTGGTACGAATGGCAAGCGTAAATGCCTCTGAACGCTGCATCATTTTCTTGGCCGAGTTCTTTTGTAGCTTCTGACGTTCACGATAGCTTTTACCGGCAAGAGTGCCGAACAACTCTGTCTGCAAAAACTTGACCATACCACAGTATGTTGAATTGGTATCCGAGTCAGCCTTGATGAGAGATTCGATCTGCTTGAGGGTGCTTCCGTATCGACTTTCAAGCAAGCTACGGCATTCATCGGTCGTTGAAAGGTATCTCTCTCGGGTCATGGCATTGGCGGACATCATGCCAATCAAGACTTGGGGATAGACGAATACTATGTAATCGAGTTTCTTTTCTTGGGCAATGGCACGAATTTCTTGGCCGTACTCCCAAGTCTCCTCGTCACTGACACCGATTATATCTGTGGCATGTTAGTGGAGCCAGCATTTCGGGGGAGGCACGATACTCGACTGACCATTAAATAAAATACCATCAGAGGCGATGTTGACCAAGGCACCGGGCTGATATACATTTTTAATAGCAACGGCTATGTCATTCAAGCGAGTCATGCCAAGTTCCTCACCCAGGTCGGGCAAGTGACCGAGGACTTTGTCATTGCGGTTGGCCTGGTGGGAAGGTACCGTTAGCAAGAATAGGATATGCGATAACTATAGATATCAAAAACGTACACTCTTACATGGGAATGCCGGCATTGTAAGCTGCACAGGTTCGTTCTTTCTCACCCAGTGAAACACGTGCCCAAGGAATTTGGGCTTGCCTGCCCATCTACCGGAGGGGAAGCTCGATTCCTTGCTAAAGTGAGTTCCAAATGACTCGAGCACATCGAGAACGAGGAGACATTTCTCGAAGTATTTGAGCTCTTCAGTCAACCAGGGAGAGCCGATCGGGGATTGCTGAGGCAGCCTAAATGTTTGTGTCACTGGGCCATCGTGTACTTGGGAGGGGGTGAGGACTGATGTAGGAGGTGGAAACATGTTCAAGAACATGTGGTAAGCTCGTTGGGGGAATACAAGACTGTGCAAGAGAGAATTGAAAGTGTAATTTGATAAACTTTTATGGTAGCAGGTAGCGTCTCCCTCGTGTCATACAGTTGAAATCTTGTTTCTTTATACGGGCTTCTACTAGAACCACATGGATCAAACTCAGAGCTGTAGCCACCTCCACTGTTATCGAAACTTATAAACGCTCGCAGTCTTCAGAAAATTTGACACGTGCCCATGTAGGATCGATTAGGAAGTTAAGACGAACCCAGGTCGCCGTTGATCCTCGGGTAAACAAACGCACAACTTGCATATCATCCAGGCTCACCACGAGTCACTCGTGCCTGTCTATCAACACTGCATACCATTGGAGAACCGTTGAGCCTCGCTGAAGTCTCTTTTGAGTACCATCGGAACGAAATCGTCCAAGTGTCGCGTAATATCCGCTTCTAAGAAGGCCATGGGACGCGTTACCGTTGTCTAGCTATGGTCGATTGTTTTGTTACACCCTGTTCAGCTTCAGCGCACGCCATGCTTACGAAAAAGTCCATATGTGTGTCAGACCGTTCACAAGATTAGTTTAATTTCTCCTTTTAGTTTGGAAATCAACTAGTGGAGATAGCAGGCATGCCAAGTCGAATTACAACTCGTGTTGCTGCAGTCCTTGCGAAGTCAGACGATCAAACTCCCCTCTCCTGGACTTTCGGTTAGGATGACAATGGTAGTTGCATATGCAGTAATACTAAAATATCATTCTAGAACTAGGAGAGAGTTGAGAGCTCATGTGCTAGGTTACTATCAACAAGCAGATCTAACAAAACTTCACATGCGTAGACGCTCGCTCAGCCGTAGTCGGCTACTAGTAGCTCTTGAACGACAACCGCTAGCTAACTCAATAAGCGAAATACACAGTCTTGAGCTCTGTCCAATAGTCTGTTGCGTACCGACTGAACTCACGCCCCTGCCCGGAGCTCTTCCACCCCCCAAACGGCATGTCCATGGCTAACACGGGTGACGTACAATTGACACCTACGCTGCCGGCTTCTAACCGTTTGGCCACGCGGATAGCACGGCTTACATCATTGGTAAAGACGCTGGCCCAGAGACCATACTCGGTGTCATTGGCTCGCTGCAAGACGTCGTCTTCATCCGTGAAGCGGTTGACAATTAGCACGGGCCCAAAAATCTCCTCCTTGGTGAGCCTTGAGTCCTCAGGCACGTCAGTGAGAAGGGTGGCCTGAACAAAGTAACCGGGAGACGATTCACGGTTGCCGCCCAAAACGACGGAAACACCAGACTGCTTGGCGAGGTCAAGGTAAGACAATATGCGCTCAAATTGGGCCCTGTCAGCCTGCGGACCGCGCATGGTCCCTTGGTGCAGCGGGTTACCGGTGGCTCCCATGGCTGACATGGCGGCTTTAACGCCACTGATGAAATCCTGCGCGAGTTTCTCGTGGACATAGATGCGGGTGGTGGCGTTGCATACCTGCCCAGAGTTCATGAGGATCGACATGGTGGCGGCGCTCACGGCTTTTTCCAGATTTGCATCTTCAAACACGACGAGGGGGCTTTTGCCACCCAATTCGAGTGAGACACTCTTCAGGTTTGTCTCGGCCGCGGCTCGCTGGATGGCTTTGCCGGTGGCAGTGCTTCCCGTGAAGGAGATTTTACGAATCTCCATGTGCCGTGCCAACGCCTCGCCACACGGACGACCGTAGCCACTGAGAATGTTTAGAACGCCGGGCGGAAATCCGGCCTCCAGAGCACATCTAGCGGCGACGAGCGAGCTGAGCGGAGACTTTTCGCTCGACTTGAGGACAAGGGTATTTCCCGTGATGAGAGCGGCCGACACCTTGTATGCCAGCATCATGATAGGCGCGTTCCAGGGGGTGATGGCGGCACAAACGCCGTACGGCTGCCTGAGACTGACATTGAGGAAGCCGGCCGAGTTGAGCGAGCTTTCGCCGGTGATGTCGAGTGCCTTTGAGGCAAAGAAGCGAACTATCATGGGCACCATGGGGGCCAGTCGGTCAGGAAAGGCCGGCTTACCCATGGTGATGCTGTCAAGATAGGCAATTTCATCGGCGGCCTTTTCTAGAGCCTCGGCCCATTTGTTCAGAAAATGGGCTCTTTCAGACGCATCACGTTCTGACCAGGCGGGAAAAGCAGCCTTGGCAGCTTGGACGGCCAGTTTGACATCTTCGACGTCGGCCTCGTAGACTGACGCACTGACTTGCTCGGTGGTGGGATCGATGACTTGGAAACGCTTCCCAGAAACAGACTCTACGAATTCATTGTTGATGAAGAGGCGGTTTTCAATAGTCTTGGAGGTCTTGGTGCCGTTGGGAGTGGGCAGGGATAGATTTGATGGTGCCATGACTGGATAATGAATCGGCTTGTCTGGTTTGCTGTCTGGGGCCAAGTCTTGTGAGGTTGGAAATCCATGCTCTCATAGGGCACGCTTATATACCCCTTACCGTAAGTAGATTACAATCGCCAATTTACAAGAGCTCGCCCACTCAGTTCTTACTGAACCTGCAACTACGCCGAGGAGGAACCGTCAGAGCCGCTGCAAACTAGGCATTGAGCACGTTTATGCGTAATTCCATATGTTAACTCCGCTTCAATATGAGATAGTGCTCATGGCAAGAAATGACGAACCCCCCTGAATCCAGCGGACCAGTCGCGGACCCGTGGCTTTTCCTCGTCTAAAAGGCCGGGAGTTTTGCCTGAAACATGCTTCGGCTTGGCTGATGGCGGCTCTACGTCCGCGCCCAGCAAAAAAGTTCTTTCTCCCCTGGTCACACGTCGGAAATTTTTCGCCACAGTAGGCAAAGCGCCGATCTATGCTGTGGAAAGCCGGCTCGGCCGGCAGTCTCCTTTGCCGCCACCCGCCTCCAAGTCACTAGCCGTGCTGACGGCGTGGAACGTATGCCACAATCTATAGACTCCCGAAGCTTAATGCTCCCGGTGATTATGGAAGAAGGTGGATATTTACTAGTGTCTCAAATCGGCATTATCCTATAGACTCGAATAGCCATACCAGCGTCCGCAAAACACAGGCTGCTACTTGTTCCCTTTCCATGGTGGCTTTGATAAGTAAGAATATTTAGCTGAGCTGACGGAGCAAACTGGCCTATCTACTCCGAAGGAGTGTTTAAAATTTACTACTTGGGATAATATTCAAAGTATGCAACACGAGGTTCTAGATACAAAAAGCACGTCATCTCGGTAGTCTCGTCACATACGGCACATGTACGGGTGGGTTTCGCTCGCATAGCTTGTCATGCACGTATTTATGCAGTGCTTACCCGACAAGTCCGATGTCAAAATAAAGCTTGGGTGGGAACGGCCACTCGGTTTAACGGCGTTTTGCGGCCCTTTCCTTATACACTTGCTCGAATACGTACGACCTCAATGGTATCATCTTTGTGTCGTGTAGTTTGTCAGCAGTAAACCCGCTCTCGCGACTCTAGATTTTTTGTTAGTTGTAGCGCCTGGGTTTTGATACGCTTGCGTGCTGCCGATTATTCTGCAGTAAGCTGCGTTAGAGTATGTACGAGCTTTGCTTGTCGTTGCAACATTCCAAAGAACTTCCTCCACAGCTGACGACCAAGACCACATCACGCCGTCCGATAATCACACCCCTACTGGAACAAGGCTGTCTGTTGGGCACATTAGAACCGATTCAATCTGAGAGAGTTGATTACACAGGCAAGCCAGCTGGCCTCGGCGCAACGCACAGCCTTAGATTTTGAAGCAAAACCTTGGCTCAGTTTGGGTATCTGTTAAAACCACACTTAGTGACAAGCAACCGTCTTTCCACTGCCTATCACATTCTCTCGGCTTCGAAAATGGCGGCACTTTGCGGAATTCCCAACGGCGAATATGTGAGGCTTGTGGATGTCTTGTCCACGGTGAAGCTCAACAGCGAGCCCGTCCAAAAAGCACATCGAGTAATCCTGAATGCTCCGCCAAATGCAAAACATGACGAGTTCATCGCATCCAGCAACGCCCAAAGGATTGATCAGAAACTACTTGATCGCTTTGCGCAGTTGACCGGTCGTAAGCCTCATCGCTACCTGAGACGTGGTATTGTCTTTTCACACCGAGATCTTCATCTCATCCTCGATCGGTATCAGAGCGGTCTGCCAATATATCTCTTTACCGGCCGAGGCCCTAGCAGCGACAGCCTGCATCTTGGACACTCGATCCCGTTCGAGTTTACTAAGTCAGTACTCCAAACATCAAGTTTTGGCTTCGGCTACCTAGGAACCACACTTACATGATAACTTAGATGGCTTCAAGAGACTCTTGGGGCCAAACTTATTCTCATGCTCACCGACGACATGAAGATTCTCCATGACAAGGACCTGCCCATTCAACATGTTCGCAAGTATGACATTGCAAATGCCACCGACATTTTGGCTTTTGGCTTTGACCTCCCAAAGACGTTCATGTTTTCGAATATGGATTACGTCGGCGGCGCGTTCTATCAAAATATTATTTCAATTGCTCGTCACATCACCGTCAGCAGTATCAAGGAAGCGCTGGGGTTCACCGACGACGACAATGTTGGCATGTTCTACTGCTGCTCTACGCAGTCGGCAGGTTGTTTTGCATCGTCCTTCCCAGGCATCCTGACTGCCAACAAGTCGAGCTTGAGAACTATCCCGTGCCTCATCCCGTGTTCGTATGACATTGACGGATATTTTGCCGAGGTACGCAAGCACGCGGGGAAGATGGGAGAGCTTCCGCCTTCGTTTCTCTATTCGAGCTTGCTGCCTTCTCTGCAGGGAGGAGGCCAGAAAATGTCGGCTTCCGTAAAAACCTCAGCTATCTATCTGACGGATGAGCCTGACGTGGTACGGGAAAAAATTCATGCAGCGTTTCCAATTGGACAGAACAGTATGGACGTGGCTCTTGAATGGCTGCGATTCTTCCTTGAAGATGATGAGGAGTTGGCCACAATTCAAAGGAAACACCATGCTCATCAGCTGCTTAGCGTTGAGCTACGTGAGATTCTCGTCGAGGTCATTATCGAGACTGTCACCAGATTCAAGACGAATCGCCAACAAATCTCAAACGACGTGCTCAAAGCGTTCATGACCCCACGTCTACTTGAATGATTTGGCAAGGACGTGTTCCTGCTCAAAATAGTCATGACAAGCTTAAGCTACGCCCTTGTTTGAAACTTGTGGGCAAGCGGTAATCACTGTGTAAATAGAATAAGCATCTCAGTCGAAGTGCTGGGATTAGTATGTGTAGAAAATTATAAAAGTACAATAGTTATAAATTCAAACTGTAATTTCTCATCAATTTTTACACAGATGGGGAAAAAAGCAACGCCGCACGGCCTAGATGGCATGAGAACAATCGTCTGCCAAGTAATTGTTCAGACCTCTCAAATTCTCCATAAGATCTACTCATCTCCAGGCTGCTTCTCAGAAAGATAATTTTCTGAACAGTCTAGTTGAGCATAGAGGTAATACAAGTGGTGGAATCGATGTCCTGTGATGTAGTTATATGTAATAACCCGTGGCGTTGTCAATAAGCATGAAACACGTCGTGGCCCAAGTACAGTCTGCTTTTGCTGCAGATAAAGTTCTATGCGTTAAATCCAGTCTAAAAGTCCCGACGCTAATTTGTTTTCTGATAGAAGGAGACACGTAATACAAAAGGGCTCCTGGGTAGTGCTACCAGAGTTAATACATCGGGATCAGATGGTGTCACTAGGTTCTTATAAAAGGGCTGGTCACGATGTTGAGCAAATAACTTGGATTAACATGTAATATTATGTGCTCTTAACGTTTTTGGTTTCTCTACCTAAAGGACTTAACAAATAAGAGCTATGCATACAAGAAGATACCTGTATATATTACTTAGCATAAGTGACCAAGGCATTGAAAGGTTGGTTCCCTGTGTATTTATTAGGCCTTTATGCCTAGATGCCTCAGCCCGCATGGCCGATAATGGTATCGTGATGGCGGTATCGTGATGGCTGCAACTATTGTGCATTGCAGCAAGTCATATGGTTGAGGATTCTTTGTCCGCCAGTCCGGTGTAAGAGCTTAACCGAATGACACTGTGGTGCATCTTGCGCATGCATATGACTCATGAGCTTACCTGTCTCACCCAAAGGGGACAGAATCTGACCCCGACAAACTTCTAAATCACACCGTCACTTCAGAGGCCGGGCTGTTCTGTCGCACCAAAAGTTGGGCGTGGCCCACGCCACACTTTTGTGTGTGGTAGACCACCTTATATGCTATGCGACATGTTCTCCCGGTCAACAAGGATCTCGTTTTTCAGCTCCTTGGCGGGGAAAATTTTTTAATGCTTGGTAATCAACGCAAGCGCTTTTGACTCTCTAAGTTTGGGACGAAGAAAAACCGGGAACGATTTCACTCAAAAATTTCAATAATAAACAAACTTTGTCGAAGACATTTAGCACAGAGCACTCCCTGTCCATTCACACAGGAGGAGAAAATAGTCAACAGGTCTTGGGCGATCTCTTGCCGTTCTTAAGTGCCAATTTATCACGCTTATCATACTGTATTCTTGAAAAGGAAAATGCTCTTCTCTGCAGTTGTTGTATCAGCCTGTTTTTCTCCTGTTGTGTTGGCAAAATACCCCAAGATTCGTACTTTGGGGCAACTGACCAACGGAACATGGCTGGAAAATATTGTTGTGCGCTCTAATGGGGCAATTCTAGCAACGCAGCTTCTTAACGAGTCGAACATTTGGACAATCAAGAAACCAGAGTCCTGCTATAGTTCTCTTGAGCTAGTCACTTCTTTGCCTTTCGCCAACGCTTCTGTAGGCATCACACGAATCACCGATATCAACGGACTTGAGACCTACGTGATTGCCGGCGGGAATTTCAGCAACGGTGAAAGTCCAGCTCCAGGAGAGTATACAGTCTATACCTTGCAATTCTTGAACAAGTATTCCGAAGAGTTCAAACTTCGAAAGATTGCTGCCCTCGGCCCTTCCAGCATCTCGGCAAATGGCATCATAAGCTCTGACGAATATCCTGGCGTGGTTTTTATTGCCGACAGCTTTACCGGTCTCATAGGTAGACTTGATGTCTCTACCGGCCGTTTCCAACAAGGAGTCTGGTCATATAAAGAACTGAAAGCTCCGCCAGGGCTCAGAACTGGCGTCAATGGCGTTAAACTTTATCAGTCACATCTCTATTGGACAAACAGCGAATTGGTTGCAGTGTACAAAGTCCCAATCACGGCATCGGGATGGCCTGTCCCAGATGCAGTTCCTCAACTAGTTGCCAACCTATCCAGTGTTGCTTCCATCGTTGACGACTTCGTCATTGACAGTCGAGGGAATATCTATTCTGCCACAAATCTAGACAACACTATTATTTTCTCTGATGTCAAGACTGGGAGAAGCAAAGTAGTCGCAGGAGGGTTAAAAGACTTTATACTGGAAGGTGTAGGCGCTCTCGCCATTGGAAGAGAGAGGCACGGGGAAATACTGCTGTACGGTGCAACATCTGGGGGACTGGAACGCCCCATAAATGGTATAACAGAAGGGGCAAAAGTTTCGGCAATCAGTCTTAGGACGAATCCATAGTTTTTTCTCTGCTAAGGAGACAAGAATAATACAACTGTCGCATCTTGAGTTATCGTGATCCTAGATCTTCCTAGAAGTGTGAATCGATAAGACCTTTCCCTGTGCACTCTACGACTCACTAAATCCAAGAGATGTTTCGCCGCTTTAGAATGTATAACCTTTTTCTGGAAAGTTTTGTCACATTAGATATTTCTTGCCTTGTTTAATCACCCGACTCTTGAAGCTGACTTGAGCAGGCTATCTACATGGAGCTGTAATTATATTTTGAATAGCTGATATGCCCCAAGCCTAAATTCACTGGTTATAGGGAGGCAGGCATGTTATTTGCTGGTGCAGTGTTCTGATGTACAATAACCCGGGACGTATAAATGAAGGCATGATATTGTGTGTACTCGGGCTCTGTGATCTTCTCACATGCTAGGAAATGCAAGAAATAGGCATGGCAAATCTCTTTACCTATTGTTCACTATGTTTCTTGGCTATTACTTCGGTCACTTGTCGCGTGACCTTTTGTGCTCTTTCCGTGGTTGATGACGGCGAATGAGTGCCACAAGCAGTTACCAGCTTTAACCACTACTCTACAGAAGCAAAACAGACTAACCCTTGGCTACATACCACCGATATCCAATTTATAAGTGCGCCCTCTTGACCCTTTCGCTCCGACTGCGAGACTAGTCAGCGTGGCCATAGTTACGACGCACATAGGCATTCGAACAAATACGAACCAACTCATCCTGTATTCCAAACCTTGCTTGTAATTTTTATGTAGCGTGTTGATACGCAGACGTAGTCAACCCATTACTGTCGCAGCTTTGTTATGTAGAGTAATACAAATGCTTCCGTATTTACAGTCTTTTAACACGTGAATAAGCATCCTTACTCTCTTTTGGCAGGGCATTAGGCTTCCCGGCCTGAGATATTTGTGCGACATCTAATGGGAGATGAGGGCCTACATGTGGTGCAGTAGTCCCAGCCAGGATCCTTCATGGCGTAGAGCTGTAGCTGTAATAGTGGTTTTCACTTTTTGTAGCTCGTATTACCGTACTACCTAGCCACGCGACTTGAAAAGCCCATCGCACTACCTGCCGGCGTATTTCTCTCGTCGCCGACTAAGTTGGAGTTTTGTAGCTCCATGCAAAGTTGATATAGTCATATGAAATGTCCGCAACGAGAGGCAAACTGTAATGCTGTGAGTTGTGTCGAACAAGTAGAACAATCATGAATCATCTAGATATATCCATCTATAACAAAGGAGGAAGAGCACTACATAGCATGTAATAGCTTGTGCTATTTCAAGTGGAGTGACGCATATTTTTATTTGGCTCGTTTGACCAGAACTGTATTTAAAAGGTCTCGTCATGTCGCCTTGCTGGGTAATACTGGCCAGAGGTCAAAAGGTCTAGGCTTGTACATAGATTGCGACAACTAGGAGCAGAAGATCCTGAGGGACTCGGGAAAACTCGCACTTTTCCGCTATTGCAAAGACATCTCACACTGATCAGCTGGGATTTGCGACTATAATTGCGTGAGGGAAATATCTCGGGCGCTTTCAGGCAGCAGATTGATCGAACGTAGCTGAGATAATTGTCATTGAATGGCAAGGCTTTACAAAGTTCTATGGATGTTTAACAAAGAAGGCGGCAACATATGACATCTCCGCGTCACCTTTGATAGAGGAATGGACGATCTTCACAGCGGCATCGAGGCGAACGTCAAACGCAAAGGAAAATGGTAGGCTTTCATGATATTATCAACCTCGTCGGCATGTCGCTGCGACAAGGGGGTCCGACTACTTGAGCTGATTGACCCAATCCCATCCATCGACGAGCCCAGTGACAATCAGGAGCTGTCCAGTGTAGTAAAATAGCCAAACAACGTGCTGCATCAACCCGCGGTATGCCGAGTCTTTGGGCATCAAAAACTCATCGGTGGCGAGCACACTGTCCGAAATCGCGAACAGGATGGCCCCCAAGACGACCTGATCATTTTCAACGGTGAGTACAGAGAGGACCATGGCCAGGATGACAGTTGAGTATAGTGCGATAGGGATGCGGAGAGACTGCGCAACTTTAGGCATCAATGTGAAGCTCATGAATGGCGCCAAGAGCAACATTGCTCCGGCTAGACCCAGGCGCTGCGTGTCATGCAAGACAAAGCCAAGGCCGTTGCCAATTCCCGCAAATAGCGAGATATAAAACAAATGGGCAACTAAGAAACTTGAGAGTCCTCGGAAGAAAGTCTCGTCGCCTGGCCAGGCAAGAAAAGCGTCGCCTAGTGATCCGAGTACGAGAGCTGGAACAAGTTGCCAATACACGCTTTGCGTCCCAGCAAATACGGCGAGGAGCGCGGTAGCAATAGTTTTGAATGCCATACGCGAGTGTGATGGCTCGGCGAGGAGGTTGATGCTGTAAAGAATAGATAACCCCAGGGACATCGCTAGAACTGCATTTTCAAGGCTTGATGCAGTGGTTACAGCCATCGTTCCACGTCTGTTGCGATTGCGGGATGCTTGAGAAGGATCAAGGGCTGCTTCTTGCGGCTTAGACTATGTAAAGATGAAGGTGCAAGACTCGCCGGAACCAAGAGGTCTTGTCGGACAAGATTGGAAAAGAGGAGATGGACTTGTACGTCATATTCTCACGTGGTGTGGATATCTTGGTGCCCACCTTCGGTTCATCATGTCGCGATTTCCGTAAGCGAGGTCAATTATGCCTAGCATCTTGGTCACAATCTAGCCATAGTGAGTTTAGCAATGAGTAATGTGACAAGGAAGCTTGTGGTGCTCGAGCTTGTTGAATATATTAACAGTGGAGCAGTAAGTCTCGTATTCGTTACGCTCTCCTTTTGTTCTGGTACAAGGAGCTCTATCTCCTACTGGCACCAGACTCCTTAACTTCGTCGCCAAGCGTTTGTGATATGGGTGTCTGCGAAGCCGCCAGTTCAAGCCAATGGGATCAAACCATGCTTTTTGAACCCTCCCATGACGTGTCCAATAATTGTCTCTGGATAACTATTTATCCACCCCGCTCGGTGCCTAATTTTGGGTTGCCGAGTCGAGACGAGATGTCGTGGCCACGGTTGTTCACAGTCGCCAGATACTAGAAATTCCCATATTTGCCTCCTACTTGCCCAAAGATATGCTAGGACCTGAGCAGGTACCGGAAAAATGGAAAAGTAAGCGGGTGGCGGAAGTGCAATCAAGGCAGCTCGGTCGGCAACCAATTCTCGCCCAAAGTCCTATTCTATGGAAAAGTCCCTATGTCGTCGTCATCAATTTAAGTACTAGAGGAAGCTTTGACAGCTGGGTATGAGCTGTCCAATGCCGGCTCCGGGTCATGTAAGAAGGACTGAAGAGAGCCACCTTTGATCGTTGGCGTCGTCATGTCTGATGTAGCCGCGGCTTTGGGTGCGGCCACCATGTGCTTGGCCGTGGAATCGTAGAGTCGAACCGGGCTGTCCGGTCAGATTTTTGGACGATAACTTGCTGCTGTTGTTGAATGATGATAAATGAAAGAGCCGACGGAAGACAGTCCATGTTAGGGGAAGGTTGGCGGCAATGATGGCAGTCGATGACTCTCGAATGTACCAATGTGTCCATGTTGATCCGAAGGGTTCATTAAAGCTGTAGAACTTGCTGAGTATCGCCGACAGAATCTAGAGGACAAGTATTGTTAGCTCAGAAGGGCAGGTCCTTTAGTAATGCCGAGAGAGCTGCTTACCGAAAAACTACCAAGCGCAAAAACGCCAATCAGGATCAGTTTCTTCTTCAACTTGAGACGTGATTGTAAAAAGACGGGCATCGGTATGAGAATTATCATCATGTCGGATGAAATATTCACAACGGCGTTGGTGATGAGATGGTTTGTCGCTGCAGAACATTGTGCTGAAAAGACATAGTTAGCATGACACGATCCCGGCATGATGGCATCTAGATGAAAGACTTACTGGAATCAGGAGGCACTGCCCAGTATTGATTGAATGGCCGGCACCAAACTCCCAAATACAATATCTCCATCACGACGAAGCCGACGACGACATAGCCGGCCACCACCTTGACCGCTAGGTTGCTCTTTAAACTGAAACTGTGATGGGAGTAAGATACGTTGAAAATCGAGTAGTCCACGACGCCAAACAGATCCAGGGCCAGAACCTACGTGAGACGATTGTACAGCAGCAGCAAACAAGCCTTGACCAACTAAATAGTCACGCATTGCATCTGTTCAGCTAAAAGCACTATCTTGGATCCAAACTCTCGTTGCCTGATATCCTCCGGTGATAGCGGCGCAGAGTTTTAGGGTTAATTAGATTACTATTTGTATTTAATATGATGTTTATAGCGATTATAATAACCTTATAGGTGACTTATATTTCCCAGAAAACATTAGCCAAGCTATTAAGCTAGTATACACTACTAAACATACTATAGTAATTACTATAAGATAGTTAAAAAACTCTCTCCTCTAAATATTTCCCCTAGGGACCTACTGTTAAGAATTCCTACCTAACTATATATTTAGCTTAATACTATAAGTAAACCTATAGATATAGAACTAGACCTTAGCTTGCCTAAGAGTATAAGCCTGCTAGAAGCTATTAGTAAAGTCTGCTTTATTACCTCTAACTTATTGCTATTACTTATTACTCTTCTAGCTTAAAAATTAAACTATAAGAAGAGAGTTTCTCTACTTAATAAAGATAATAACTATATTTCCTTAAGCCTTAAAACTTAGCTTCTTAGTTCTAAGCTTAAGATATAAAAGAACTTACTATAATACTAACTTTCTAAAAAAATTAGTACTTTTTAATTAATCTCTACTACTCTTAAAGAAGCTATTAGAAAACTACTAACTAAGACTTAGAAAGTCTTAAGCTAGAAAGTTATTTAAAGCTTTCTTAAAACTATAAAATAATAACTACTTAAAGACTTTAAAAAACTTCTTTCTAAAGAGGCTTAAAACTTAAGCCTCTAAATTACTATAATATAATATAAAGAGGCTTTACTCTCTATATAAATATATACTAAAGCTATAGTAATACTTTTTAGTAAAGCTATTTAGACTCTAGCTGTAAAACTTATATACTTTTTTAAAGAAGATATAAAAGTCCTCTTTTAGCTAAATAATATAAGCTTAGCTTAAAGTTATACTTTATTTTATATTAAGAACTTAATTACTAAAGTTTTAAACATAAACTTAATATATATTTTTATAATAAAATAAACTACTATAATCTAGTTAGTACTTACTAAGAACTAAATAATAAGAGATAAACTTCTATCTAGCTAAATAGCTATTCTTAGCTAAATTAATAGAATCTTAGCTGCTAGAATTATATCTTAATATATCTATATAGTATTTAAGTACTTATATACTCTCTACTTCTTTAAAAGTACTACTATTAACCTTAAAGATATAATTACCTAGAAAGCTACTACTTAAACTAAGTAGACCTTAGTCTTAGTTAAAGCCTTTAGGTATAATAATAATAACTAACTAATAGTTATATTTCTAGTTTTTTTTAAGAAGCTAGTCTAAAAGAAATAGTACTTATAAAGTGCCTTTAAACTAGCTAGACTAGTTAAGAAGAAGACTCTACTATTTTAATATAAAACTTACTAAGACTTTTATGCTTAGAAGAGTTATAAATAAAAACCTTAATATAAAAACTATAGCAGCCTCTTCTATAAGACTAGTAGCTATACCTTAAAGACTTAATATATTAACTATTTTAGCCTTTATCTTTTAAATTATAAAGAGTGCCTAGCTAGGCTAAAGTAAGTAGACAGAAAGTAGTAGTAGCTTATAAAGGCCTAGAGAGGTAGTATAAAAGCTGTAAGAGTAGAGCTATTATCTAGATATTAAGCCTACTTAATAAGCGCCTTTATTATAGAGACTCTATCTCTATAAACTAAACTATACTCTCTAGTGCTAAAGACTTCTGCCTTCTCTGCCTCTCTAGTTATACTAGCTCCTCTAGCTTCTGCTATAAAAATTATACTTATAACTAAAATACCTATCTCTATCTCTACCTCTAGGTTAGCCTCTAAACTAACTAAGAATACTAACTCTAAGAAATATAAGTAATATACCTTAGAGAAAACCTTTATAAATTATTAGCTTAAATACTTAGAACTTAGAACTGATAATAAATACTATTTTAAGCTTATTAGCTATAAAGAAAATTAATATAGTTCTTATTTAAAAACTATATACTAACTAGAGGAAAGAATAGTAGTATATTAAAAGCTACTCTCTCTATAAAGCTTATAAACCTCTAGCTTTATAGAATTCCCTTAAAACTTACTTTAAGGTAATTTCTTATATTAAAGCTAATCTCCTCTTAATATAACTCTCTTACTTTAACTCTTAATATTTAATTTAAATTAAAGTACTTAAATATACTTTAGTAAACTTCTACTAAAAACCTTAGAATATAAAGGCACTAAGAGAACTTTTTATATAATTACTAATAAGCTATACTATAGTAGCTAGTAACTTTAATACGAGCTATAAAATATAGTAATTTAGTACTTAATAAAACTAAGAAGAGAATATAGTAGACTAAGCTAATGCCTACTTAATAACTCTTCTAAATACTTTAGATATATTTACTTATAACTTAGAAAGAGTCTTAAACTTTATATACTTAAATATTTCTTATTACTCTCTTAGTATTACTAAGAATATATAATATACTTTAAATTACTTCTTTTTTTTAATTACTATTTCTAGAGAAATTACCTTTAAGTATTTTACTTATACTTATATAATAATAAACTTTAAAGAAGAGAAATAATTTATTAAAATTCTTACTACTAAGATTAAGTTTCTACTTATAACTATTAGAAATACTAGTAAACTAAACTAACTAGTAAAGTAAATAACTTGTACTTTTATATTCTCTCTCTACTAAGTAGGCAGAATCTCTAGAGGCAAGGGAAATTTTAAGGTTTAGTAGAATAATAACTATAGTTGCTTATACTAAGAGCTGCTAGTAAAATAGTATACTTACTTAGATATTATTAAGAAGAGAAAAGTATTTTAATAAGCTATTTAAGTAGCTAAAAAAGCTTTTTAGTTAGAGAAAATAAACCAAGTAATAACTAATAAAGAGATATTTACTATTACTAAGTAGGCTTATAAAACTATAGCTAACTTTTAACCTTCTAGCTTAGTATTCTAGAGTAAAACTTATAATATACTTAGCAAGAAAGCTAAAGAACTTTAAGTAGTAAAACTCTATAAAGTTAAATCTAGTAATAACTACTTTAGAGGAGAAATCTCTACTATCTCTAAATAGAATATTTCTTTTTATACCTCTATCTTACTAGTAGAGGCTAAATATACTGCCTGCTCTATAAGCAATATCTCTCTAGGCATTAATAAAATTAGTATTAATATTCTTAAACTAGCTTAGCTAGTTATTAAACTTATAGTTAGACTTATTTATAAATTCTCTCTTAAGCTTAGCTACTATTCTGCCTTCTTCTGCTATATAAAAGTAGTTATAATAATTAAGCTAGGTAAAACTAACTTCTTAAGTATAAGCTTTTACTGCTTTATATCTCTTACTTTCTGTATAGAAAAGAGCATTAATAAACTCTTTACTTAGTAAGTATTCTACCTTACTATTAAGCATAAAGTCCTTAGCAATAAATAAGTAGAAGCTCTTCTAAAGTAATTAGTAAATAACTTAGTCTTAGCACTAGTATATAATATTAAAGTTGCTTTAAAAGACAGTAAAGTAGCTACTTTAGTTACTATAAATATTAAAGAGGCTTTTAATACTATACTAGTTAATAGACTTATTAGCTATATAAAGAAATAAAGTTAGCTTCTACTTATTCTAAAGTAGATAAAGACCTTTATAGTATATTATAGCTATAAAGTATATATAAATAACTATTAGAGAGAAGCTTCTCCCCTAGAATATAAAGCACTATAAAGCTTACTACTAGCTTTCTCTATATTATTTCTTTTATATACTATATTTATTTACTTACTATTAAAATATAAATTTTAGTATAAATATATAGATAATAATGCTTTACTCTTTATAGATAACTTACTTAATAAAACTATAGTAGCTACTAATAGAGGCATTTAATAACTTAAAAGCTAGAGCGCTAAGAATACTATTAACTTTAATATAAAGAAGATAGAGGTTTTATACTTTATAAAATAATAGAACTCTTAATAGCTCTCTATTAAATATAAGAAATAAAATATTTAACTTAAGAATAGCTTAAAGTAGCTTAGTATTTAGCTAAACTATAAGCTTACTTTTTATACTTATATTAAAAAATAAGCTAGAAAGGCTTATAAAATAGTTTTTTATTTAAAATCTCTTACTAATATAAAATATAGTTCAAAATATAGTTCTCTACTTAACTTAGTTTAACTTAGTTTAAAAGGCAGTAAAGATATATATAGAACTTATACTATACTATAAGCTTAAAGTCTAGTACTTTAAATATACTTTACTAGAGCAAAAGATAAGAGCTAAGGTTAATATAAGTATTATAAGTCTAGTAACTAGAATAAATAGAATAATAAAAGCTATAGCTTAAGCTATTTTTTTAGTCTAGCAAATAACCTTCTTACTTATTCTCTATAAAGAGGCTAGGCTTCTACTAGTAACTCTTATAATAAAATATATTAAAATCTTCTCTATAGTTTAATTATAGTAGCTTAATAAGAATTACTCTCTTACTATTAAAGTAAACTTATAAATCTTTAGTAGCTTAAACTACTAAAGGTTTTAATAATTATTAAGATTTTAGTAATATTAAAATCTTCTTTTATACTATTTTGTAACGGTGGCTTAGGTTCTAAGACACAGTAGGTCTGTTTCTTAGGAAGTAAGTCAGGTTGAACGCTACAGAGTAGCTATCAAGCAGTATTACAATAAGGCCGTTAAG